GGCCTTTCTGCTTTTGAGGCAAGGTTAGTGGAAAAACTTTTGGAAGTAACATTGCCAATGTTGTTTGGCAAAATGAAATAGACATAGATGGGTCATTTGGGCTCCTCTGTACAAGAATTATGGCTTTTATGCTGAGCCTGTCTTGTTTCTGCTGTTTGTGAAAAATCTGGAGGCTTTTTCTTTGGAAGGACTTCTAATTTGTTTTACAACTTATCACTATCACAGTATTACTTGCTCCTGGCTCTTTAATTAATGCACTTACTGTGTAATCATTGACCTTTTCCTCCATTATTTGATTTCCTGGATCCCCCCCTATGTTTTATGTGAATTATTTATATTGGTATTAATGTAAATTAATCACCATTTATCCTGTATAATACTGACCATGTAACTGATCAAAGGGCAGAACATTTCTCAGTACTATACTGGCAAAGTAAAGCACATTTAAGTTACTCTTTTGAAACCATGGTTAAGTGGTGGTGCATCATCACTCTTTACACAAACACATTGCGTTTATATTTTATTTGTTTGATACATGTTCTTTTCTTTGTAAGCTATAGTCCTGCATTATGATGAGACAGCCTCCCTGAAGGAGCCCCTGTCTAGTTGGCCTTTCACGATTTCACTATGATTTCTGTCCTTTCTGAAAACTGAAAGGGTGTTTCCATCTCTTCCATGGGACTCTTCCCATTAACGAATTGTCTAATTACTTTTTCAGCTTATTTGCTTTCTAAGCATCAGTCAGAGAGGGTGGTATGATAAAGGAAAGATAACATAGAGCCATGAACTTTTCCTTTTTTTTTTTCTACAGTCAAAAAACTTTTTTTTTTTTTCAGTAAAGTTATCTACTGTAGCAAAGATCAGACCCTTAACTGTCATGTTATTACAAACTACTAAGATGTTGGTATGGCCACTGATAATTTCGTTCACCATCCTGTGACATCAGTTTTTGAGACCTGGGTCTTAGCAAGTCAAATTTAAAGTAGTATCTGTTACCTTTACACAGTACACAAAGGTTTTAGTAGACACGCTTGTCCAGATCTCTGATACTGGACATGAGCTGTATTAGAGAGTGAAGGCAGTGTAGCTTAATGTTGTGGGGTGAGATATGAGAAATTTTATAGTTTTTAGGGTAAAAATCATTTGATCCTGAAAATATTTTGCTCTTGAAAATATATAATGGTATTCTAATAGATAAGTGCATTCCAAGTTTGAAGAGTTACCAAAGTGATGTTCTGGAAGACTTGCATCTTGCATCTTATTTGCCTGTGGTGTGTTCAGTACTGACTAGGCAGCACTGGGGAGACTTTGCTGCCCATCTCCAAACTGTCTTGTCCCAGCAGCATTGCTGCTGAGCTGGTATTGCTGAGTTACCTTTTGCTGAAAATGTTCTGAGAATAAGCATGTAAAAATAGCTTGATCCTTAATGTAGGATGCATGTCTTTTAAAGGAGCAAATTTTTCATTCCCAGCTTTGTTCTTGCACAGTGTTTCACTCTTGTTTCCTGCACCTTGCTGTTGTTAAGTGGTCTTGTGGTTGTGCACACAGGTACTTGCAAGCTCGCTCCCCCAGCCGCAGAAGATAGTCTTTTCTCTCCCTTGTTGGTGTCTTGGTGCACAAATTCTCAGGCATGTCTGTTTTTCTAGATGGATTTCTTTGCAGCTCTTTCAACTCTGATGTGATTTTTCTCCCAGCTCTCACTAAGCATATCTGTACATGCTGACCAAAAGGGTTGGAAAAGCAGCTATCTCAACATTCTTTAAAGGACAGGTTTAAGTGTGCCACCAGGACATTGAGGGACATCATCCTTTTGGTCAGAAGGAACCTATGTGACTCGGCTGTCTTCAGTCGTATTACTTTCTTGCTGCTGAAGCTTTTTTTTTCTCCTTCTTTAAGAAATATTTTATTTAGGTAGATGTTTTAGGGAAAAATGAGAGTGTGGGGACTCATTTCGAATACACTGTTGTGTGTGGGTTTTTTTTTTTTGGCACCACTAACAAACCCTGTGTAGAAAGCTTTCCATATCAAGGGGAGGAGGAGAAGACCTGCGTCCTGTCTTGTGGATGTCAAAGTAGGCATTTCTGCAGAAGCAATTGTAGAGTTATTTCATCTGATTCCCTTGGTGCTAGAATTGTAATGTGGTACTATGTTGCTTTTCCTAAAAAAATGAAAGTTATGTCTCAGATTTGACTTAAAGCTTCTGTGTGTGTTTTAAGAACTGCCTTTTTCTAGAAGTAGAGTTAATATATTTATTTGTAACATCTGATTTGGGCTGCTCAGAGAAAGTGCACAGATGCCATTGCCTTGTGGCTGAAGCTGATTTTTTTTTTTTTTAACATTTCCTATCTCTGTGGGGACAGATTTATTGACTGAGGTCAATGCCTCTTTCTTAGAGGTAAAATACCTATTCAGCAGTTAATGAGGGGGGGGAGATTTCTCCTGAACTCTCCACATGAACCCCTCTTTATTCTCATTTTTTGTCATTTTTTCCTCTTCTAACTATCTATTTGAAGCAGAAGGCTGATGTCCTTCTGCTGCATGTTATGTGATCAACACGGCATGCCCTCGCACTGAGCAGGAACCTCTCTGTGCTGGTGCTTGCCTGAGCAGACAGTGGTCTTTTGGACAATAGTTCAATTTGTTAGAGAGGGTTATCGAATGCTTATCATTATTATTTTGGACACGTTAAGAAAATATTCTGAAGGAAAATTGTTGTCTCACATTTCTTTCTAGTTTTGCTGTCGGGGGAAGGTCAGTTGTGTAACTAGGAGTCGCATTAATGCAGTGTTTTTTATCTCTGAACGCGCTTAGTCTGAAGCAGAAAATCAATCGGTCTTTTCAGCCTTCAACTCCCTGAAGAAGGATTTCACTGCCTCCTGTGGTGTTGTAGAGGACCCTAGTTTGTTTTGTGTGATCAGTTTGTCCTGAATGGCAATTCCTTTTAGCTTCTTGACAGGAAAATGATTTTTTTTTAATTTTTTTTTTTTAATAAGATCTGAAATGCTTGAAAGTCAAAGTATGAAACTCATCTTTATAGGCGTTTCTACATCCTGGACTACTGTCATTTCACTGCGTACAGAGAAAAGGATATGTTCCTATTAAAATTTTCTCCTCTTCCCCATGAGAAAGTGCCAGTAGATGGCACTTCATTGAGACACAGGTTTCTCTCCATTGGTAAATACTGAAATAGTGATAGACTTTTTGAAGACCTTTAGCATCTCTTTAAGCTAGTTCTTGTATCCTGTTGCTGTCTCAAGTGTTGTAAAGCATTGCAGCAGATTTAAATCAGTATGCATGATATTTTTGCATTATCTTTGTTTTATCCTAATTAATTGTACTTTTGCCTGCAGATCTGTGTTCGAGTATAGATGTTAATGAGCTAGCTTCTGTTTGAACAGCCTCTCTCTTTATGGTGTGCTTTAGCTTTAGTTTGCAGAGTAATCACACTGTAAGCACACATTACCAGGTGCTGAGAAAGTGAGACTTTTGTTCCATCAAGAAATTAACATTGTTTCATTCAAATTGCTGGGTTTGGGCACAGCTGGCAGCCAGTCGTATTCCTCAGAGCCTTAGAACTGCATGCTTAGGTGGTTGGTTTGTTTGTTTGTTTTTGTTTGGTGGTTTTTGTTTTTGTGGTGTGGTTTGTTGTTTTTTTTTTTTTAAGATATTAGATTGGGAAGGAAATTTCTGAGTAGAGTTGCAGTATTTTTCTTCCGCAGGCTGCTGAAGCTTCGTTACCTTGTTGGCGCTTGTGGAAGGAGGTTCATTGTTGCATTCCTGAGCCTGTTTTGACCTCAGACTCCTCAGGCCTAGTATCTTCTGATTTGCACAAATAATATCCTGAAGTTTGAAATTTTTGTGTGTGTTATTTTTCATAGCTGTACCCTCTAGACTTGTTTTAAACCTTGTTGGTTTGTGTGCTGCCTTAAAGGAACTGCTAGACTCAGGCATCTGTTACGTAGCACAAGGTCAGTATAAAGACATGCAATGCTTCTAGGTAAGATGTGGTTTCTCAAGGGGCTTGAGCAGACCCATCTAAGCAGTTCTGTCTAAAGAGCTGACAGGGCTGTGTCTTTCGTCCTTTAGCTCTTTTGTCCTTCTCCCCACTCCTGCCAAACATACTGCATGTTCCTGCCTCACCCTTCATACTGGCACTAGCACATGTGACAGGACCACCCGGATCAGCTCTGCTATTTAGCTTAAAATTTGTACCCTAGCCATTTGCTGGGCTGCTTTTTGCCTGAGCTGGAGAGGTGAGTTAGCAACGCTGCTAAGGCAGGAAAAAGGAGGGGATTTCAATGAGCTTAAGATGATTGTGAACGGTTTACCTTTGAATTTTATTCCTCTGAGGATGCTTATTTGAAGGGAGTACTCTTCAAAGCCCCTCACTGAACCCTCATCTCAAGGTTTGCAAAGTTGAATAGGTATGGCAACTGGGAAAGACTCTGGGAAAAAGTCTTTCGTATTTTGCTTTGGGTTTCTGGTCATTGGTTTTGCAACTAACAATTTGTTCAAAGTTTTTCTAGGGTTTCACTTGCATAGGGAGTCTCCATGTCTTTGAAGGCATGGAAAGAGTCATGGGGATGCCTAATGATATGACAGAGTTGCTGTCTTTGCTTCATTGCCTGCTCTCTGGTCCAAGGATACTCCCTCCTGCTGTCCCAGAGTACTTCTGGGGTTCAGATTTCATTCAAAAACTTCTGGGTGGATGTGTTGCTGGAAAAGTTATTTGGGAATTTGAACTGACAGAAGTTAAGCACGTGAAAGAGTAGGTGCAGAGTGCTGGCAGCTTGGTCTGACAAGAGTTTTGGTGTAGTGTGTGAGAGTGTGTGTATTTGTATGTCCCTATCCTCTTCATGTCAAGTATAGGGTGGGGGCACATTTATTTACACAGTCCAATAAATGTGAGCACCTTCAGGTGCTTTTACTATGCAAGATGAGTTTTGAGGTGTTATATGTGATGGTCATGAAGAAAGAGAATTGGTAATGTCCCGAGACAGTAATTTAGTTTTAATATGCATTTGTCTAATGGCCTACTGCTATCTCGAACCAAAATTACAAGTCTACTTTAAAGTAGTGTTTGATGTAAATCCATCCCCACCAACTTTTCATTTTCATTGCAGTTGAAGGTATAGAGGAGGTTCCAAATGAGTCTAATGTTTTATGTTACTGGACAGCACTTTCTGGGTAGTAACTATTTTTGTTAATGTTTCTAGGGATTTTCTTCCACGAGGTTCTGGAATTGTAACGAGACGACCGTTAGTCTTGCAACTCATCACTGCCAAAACAGGTAACCTCTCTCTCTTTTTAGTTCAATGCCTGGACAAAGTGCTGATGTACTTCAGCAAGAGGAAAAAAACTTCTAGGAAAACTTAAGCAGTGTGAAGAAAGTTGCAACTAGACTGTCTGCAATGAAGGCCTGCTGCTTCAGAATTATATGCACAAGGCCAACTAATCTCCCTGTCCTATCTGGGAAAACAGTAGAATATAAATCCTAGAGCACATAATAAATTTAATCCAAGATCAGACTTGAAGCAGTGGAGAAACATTATTCCATGCAAAGTGTTTTAGAAATTAGCTTTGATTTATTAATTTCTTGATGAGCTTTACAGTTGCATTGGTTAACACACCAAAATTGCTGTACTTCTACCTTTAACTCTTGCTCCGGTGCACACAGATTTGATTCCACGCAGCTTGTTTTTGTGACTTGTCTTTTTTGGTTGGGCTCACTGCACGAAGTAGAGCAGAAGGTAGACTGGGGGAGAACAAGGCTTCTGTGTGTTTGTCTGGTCAAAACTAAAAATACAGTCTGTGTATACCACTGAGCTATGTGACGTGTTGAGATCTTTCATCAGAATTCACCGCTTTGTACTCCTCCAAGGGGCACTTAATCTACTGTTGTGTAGTTCGATTCCCCAGCATAAATAAAAGCAGCTACGGTTTTCCATCATTCAAATTTTTTTTGTTGTTATTGTTGCTTCTAAACCAATGTAAGCAACAAAATCACTGGTTACTTAAAATAGTAAAAAGAAATGGAATAACATCCAAAACAGCATTTAAAATTAAAAAATGCTCTTTAAATTATGGAACATGACAAAACTGGGAGAGAAACAAAATTGAAGCTGCCTCTAGAACTTTAGTCTGTTGCTATATGTGAGGTGTAATCAAGTTTTCGTGTGCTTTTTTTTTTCTAAAAGGTCTTTTGTTTTTTGCAGGAAGGTGGGCTTCAGTCTGCCTAGGCTCCAGTTTTTTTTCTGAATTACTGCTTGTAAAGCACATTCATATTTTCGTAAATAAATAAAATTCATAAATGCCTTTATGAAATTTTCCATAGTGTTTATACTGTAGAAAAGAAAGGGAAAACCATGGAATCTGGTATTTCTGTATGCTCAGCTTAGAAACTTCAGGATTTTCAAGTGTCTAGTGTGCTTATAGTGCTTTATATATATATTAAAAGATCAGGTTTGTTTTAGTTGGAGATATGAACACTTGCCATTTCTGCAATTCTGGCTTTCGATCTCTGACAGAGCATGCAGAAATGCATGAATAAGGCCTAGCTATGGAGAATCTTCATCTCATTTTCCCAGCACCATGTAAGAGCAGAAGAAAAGAATCAAGCTCCATGCTGGCATTCCTAACGAAACGACTGAGCTGCAGGGACGTATGAATTAGTGAGTAAAGTCTTGCACTCTAACCTCAAGTGGTTGAATGCTTATTCTTAGACATCCATCGTAAACTTACCCCGGCTGATCTGTATGGCCCTATTTTGTAAAATCATCAGTGTCCCATGGTTAAGGGGGCAATGAAAAGGCTTCTCTCTCCTTCTGGTATTTTCCCCATTAATATGTTCACACAGCATTATTAGCTTTAGGTAGGCCTCTAGGTTTTCATCTAGGTACCTTCTCTGCTGAAAAGTAGTTCTTCATTATAACTTAAATAACACAACAAAAACTTTAAAAATTCTGAGCCTAATTTCATGTTTCCTGGATGTGAAAACATATTTCTCCCTTTGGGAAATGCTGTGTATTTTTTGTTTGGGATTAGATGCCAAGACCTTCAAACGCAGGCTTTAATTATTTTGTTACTTTCTTTAAACTTTGTTCTGTTGTTTTTGGTGGTGAAATTCCGAATAACTTTATCTTTAAAGCCACTTTTATCTTTCTGAACTAATTTAAAAAAAAAGAAAATAAAGAAAACTGCGTAGAGAAGCACAGTGTTCTTTCACAGGAAGCACATGCTGGACTGATTTTTGTCAAGTCCATAATTATAGAAAGTAATTAGAGGACTGTATCGGGTTCTTGCTGCTGTTGCAAGCTTAACTGATCTCTAATCCTAAGATCTTTCTTGACTCTCTTAAAAGTAACTATTGTTAATCTTACAGTATTCCTTGGGAGGGAGGGGGCACTTCCTGTATGCTGTAGCATATAGGCACGCAGAGACGACTGCAAATATTTTAGCGACATTTTGGAACTGGCTGAAAATCTTTTTGGAATGTGAATTTGATTGACACAGGAGGTTAAAGCTTCATTTGACTTTGAGTCATTGCACTAAGGAATAAAGATTGGCAGCTGAGGCATTTGTGCATGCCCAAGTAAGGGGAGACTTTCACCGCTTATTATTAAGGTTGGGCGTGTCATGGAAGGGTACAGCAGGGTTTGGTTGTGAGGAGTTGTCAGGGGCTCTCCAGCGTCTGAAAGATCTGAGACATCTGGTGTAAAGAGCCAGTCTCTTTAAACCCTTCCAAAATGTGAATATACAAGGGGTAACGTGAAACAATTCAATACTAAGAAGTTTGTTTCATGAGATGGGGAGTATTTTTCTAGAATTTTGTTTGCTTCCTCTTTTGTAAAAAATTCTGTGTAACTAGTACAAAGCTATTTTGTAGTGACCTGTTGACCTCTTTAATCACTAACATTTTTTTGGTGGGAACAGTACAATTCCTAAATGGCCTTACGCCATTTGCATTTCCACGTCCATGCAAATACTGTACTCTGCTGAAATCTTGGAGGCAAAGACAAAGGTTTTAATTAAGTGCTGCGACTGCCAAGGCAGTCTTTAGTAGTTATGACTATTTTCCTCTGAATTTGATAATGTGAGAAATACCTAGTAGCACAGAATAAGTCAAAATATGGACGTTATTTGATAAGGACTCTGACTTGCTCTTGACTACTATTGTCACTGAAGTCCGGACAGAAACTCTCTGACACGGTTTACAGTGTTAGAAAGCAGCATTACTTTATTGTGGCACCAGGTGCACGGGGGATATCTCCTCCTGGCTGCACCCCTGGCCCCTGGACAGAAACTTAGTTATACACTACAGTCATCCATATTCATACCATGTTTACATATCCATTGTTTTTCTCTTAAACAATTGGTTAATTTTCTCTCGCTTTACCTGTAAATTATTTCCCGTGCTCAGTCTTCTTCCTCCGCCCCTTTCTTTAGGGTCTGGGGTATGTTTAAGGTCGGTGGTCCATGAGTCGGTGGTCACGATCTCCCCCTGCCGGAATTACCTTTTCCCCACGTCACTGCTGCGCGTGTTCACAGCTCAGAAAAACACGAGAACAAAGTTTATTACGCTTTCTGGGATGTTCCCTCCAAGGGCAGACAGTTCTTGATAGAGAGTCTCCCTTCTAATCACTTCTGGCAGCTTCAAGGATGGTCATCTTGTTATATTCCTTAGGTATGTGTAAACCGCTTACTAAACCCTTCATGAAATTCTTACACAAAAGTTTTAACCCCTTTATTGCTGGATAACACTTTGAGTCTCTCTTGGGACTGCCCAGCTGCATTTCGAATGGAATTGTTAATGTGGCCTGTGTCCAGTAAACTACTGTAGTGGCTAGAGGAGAGAGGCAAAAAAACCTATCTCCATCTTTTAAATATTTTGAGACTCCAAGGTGGCTTTCTTCTCGCAGTGAGAGGCAGATACTCATTACTTGTCCCAAAGTAGTTCATTGACAGTCCTGGAGGTAAAGTCACATTTGTTCATTCTTACTCTTCATCTCATTTCAGTTCACTTGCTCCTCTTCTACTGAAGAAAAATGGCATATACGATGTCTTGCTGAAAGAGAGAGTTGAACCAAATAAGCATGCAGTCTTTGTTCCGTAATAAACGGACCTAAATTCTGGTAATGCAGCTTTTTTTCCCACCCAGAAGTCACAACTGAAAGAGTTCCCATCTGACATCAAGCATGCTGAACAATCCAGGTGCAGCTTGATTTTTGTTCTCTCTGGTTACTGCATTTGTCCCTGGGCAATTCCACAGCTTTGGAATGTGTAGTGTCAGGTCTAACAAGACTCTTGTGCCTTCATTGTTACTAGTCTCTGAAGGAGCTCAGAGTAGAGGATGGTTTTGGGGAAAACAGTCCCATCTGTGAAGATGCAGTTCAGTGAGTTTTTGGAAGGCACAGGTGTGGACAGAGTGCTGTTAGCTGGGAGGCTGTCCCACAGTGAAATTAGGTTTTACAAGACAGGCAATATAGCTGAGATATATTATCTTAGCCATTCAGAGGATGTACATGGGAGGAATTCCACCTGCTCTTTTCCGGGGTGAGAAGCTGGATGCGAGGGCTGTTTATTCTGGGAGAGACTGATGTCTAAATTCAGGCGAAACACACGCTGGTTCTTTGAGTATTTGACTACTGCTGCATGAAATACAGGGAGCTCATTCTTTCTCACCAGACAGCGTTTGTTTTAAATGCTAAACTGTTGTGATATTTCAGGAGTTCCCAATGAGTGTGCAGTGCTGGTCTCTTACTTTCTTACTCGTGATTCTTTTTCAGGAGGAGGAATGCAGTATGTATTGCTGTAGTTGTACTTTTTCCCAGGGTTTTGCCCCGTGTATCTTTAAGATGTAAGTGTTGGCACACAGCTGACCTGGGACAAGAGTTTTAAGGCTGCATTGATGTTCAGTAGTCTTAGAGCAACAGAAGCGAATTCTGCATAAAGTACAGTAGTTGGATTTCAACTCTTAATCTTCTCTCTGCAAGTTTTGCCAGTAAGCGTGCTAACCTGTAGTGGTTTGTCATGTGTTACCATAATTTCGTAAAGGAGGGCCAGTGAGCTGGGGGGGGTCTTTCTTCTTTTGAGTTGATATGCCTTAATTTCTATGTTAAAACCTATTTGTTAAACATTCTAAGTTTTTGTTTCACAACTTTCAGTATGAAACTTAGACTGATTCTTTGATCTGATACATCAGCAAGATTAAATACTTTTTGTAGGAGTTAGTAGATGGTGCTGCTGAATAAGCTTTGGGAATGTAATGACTTGAAATGACTGAGAAAGTCTTGAGAGTTGGGTGGTGGGTTTTTTGTTTTTTTTTTTTTTTCCCTCTTGCCACATATTCTATATAACCTTAGACAATCTGTTCTTCCTCTTGCTGAGCTTTCTCCTGCCTGTGGAAGTGAAATAATTGCCTAGATTTCTTGAGACTGGGTAGTGTTTTTTAAACAGCAGTGACGACAAAAAATGTACTTAGGTTTTGGGTAAAGCCTTTGTTGTAGGTTTTCTGTTTCTTAAAAATACATTGCCTGCTATATGAATCGTGTTATTTGTTGTTTATATGTTAAAATATCTTGTCTATAGGAGGGTTATTTTCCTCATTTTGATAAGTGTTTTTGGAGGACTTTCAGATTTGCTTCATGGTCTTGCTTCAGTCTCTTTGCTAAAGAAGTGACAGATTAACAGATTTTGAAAACTGTTATCGAGGTGGACGTTTTTAGATTAATGAGTCATATGCACAATACCCACATTTGTTCCAGTTCTGTTAATTAGAATACTAAGTGGAAAGTAAATCACCATAAGGTTCAAAAGACATTGACTTTCTTCAGAAGTCTTGCAGATGCTCTCTTCTATTGAAGTTGCTGAGCTTTAATGCTAAGCATCTTTTGTTGTGAGACTACTCCTCAAGCATACCCGTCTTTTATTGCCATCTGGTGGCAAAACCAATCTTCTAACAGAAAAGCAAAAGTAATAAAAAGTATTTAGATTGGTTATTTCAGCTAATACAAATGATCTTAGAGACTACCTCAGCAGGGAGGCGTTTGGAGGTCTTCAAGGACAAAACCTAGAAAGGTGCCACAGTGCCAATAGGAGGGGAGAGACTGGACACTTTGCAGGGAGGAAACGAAGACAGTGGATGCCATTTTCTGGATCCCACTCTCTGGCAGCTACTCATTCAGAAGATGAACAGGGATGCTATAGAGACCAGTAAAGATGTGGGAGGTGCGTACCCCAAAAGATAAAAACTGATATCACCATGAGGAAAAGGTGGCAGTGACTGGTGACCCCTTCCTGAGACAGTGAGAAACTCATCACCCGAATAGGACTGATAAGCTGAAAGAGGGATAGTGCTGCCAGTCTGAAACCTGGATTTCAGCTGTTTGTGTAAGGTTGCAGAGACTGAAAATCTTTCTTGCAACTGCAGATCTTCCTCACTGCTGTCTCCGTGTGTGTACAAGTAATGGTGCCTGAAGTAACCTGAGCTGATCAGCAGTAACTGCTGAGTCTGGCAGTGTGGATTTGAGGGCTCAGCCAGTTCTCACATCAGCGCCCTCAAACAGGGTATGGACTTCAGCTCATGTTGGGACAGATGGATCATACCCATGAAAACTTGATTTTCCAAATGGTTTTGCCTGGAAGGTTTTGTTTCCTTGATGCCAGGTTGATGCTCAATGACATCAGGAAAGATGTAATCTTGTTGAAAGACTGAAAAATGGCTCTATATTTGACCATCTTCAAAAATATAATAAAGAGAAATGACAGAAAAATCAAAGTTCACTTTTAGGAAAAATAAATCTGTAATTAGTTATTTACTGACAATCTGAAAGGTACCTGATATTAATAGCAGCCAATACAAATTTGTCAAAGGAAAAAACTCTGTCATATCAGTCTAATTTATTTTTTTATTAGAGGGTAGCAGACTTGTAAGTAACAGTGTGGTAGGTGTCTCTTATCTTGGGTTTAGTAGGGGTTTTAAAATGATCTCATGTATTTCTAAGGGCTGTTCCATGTCTCATGACATGACGTACGTAACTTGACTCTTTTTAGCTTAGAGACAGATTTATGAGAGATCTGAAGTGTGTATGTAATTTAAATAATTTGAAAGCAACAATGACTATTTATTGTTAAAACAATGTAACATTGTGCTAGATTAAATCAGAAAAGCATAGGGAGAAAAAAACTCACAGGAAAAATTAGGGGCGTTTTAACAAATGTTATCCCATAGCACGTGTTTGTATGATTTGTCTAATTTAATCAAAATTGAAGAGAGAAATTATCACTTATCATGACACTTGTGGTTGGTTGTGCTGAAGAGAGCTATGTTGTGGTAGCTTTTTCATTCAGTGTTACCCAAGGTGCTTTGAATGAGTCTGGGGAAAAAAAGTATTCTACATGTAAAGACTGTTTTAATTTTGTATCTAATTGTCCTTTCTCTTAAAGTATCTTCAGTTTTATACAGAAAATACGTGTCTGAAAACTAGACATTAGACAGGATCTGGCTTCGTGTCTGTTCCCACAAAAATGTAAATAAAATGTTTTCCTAGTCGTCTCCTGCGTATGAGAGCTGAGAACTGAAGATTGTGTTGAAGCATGTGCTTATCCAGCCTGGCGAAAGGCGTCGTTGCCAAGGGCAGGCTAAGGGCTGAAAGGAGCCAAACAAAGCGCTGCTTGTTCCTTTGAATTTTCATTCCGTAGGCTGTGCGTGGCACCACAGATTATGAACCGTTGTAAGGTCTATTCCTTCAGAGCTAAAGGGACCACAGATGTCACTGGGAGGAGTGAGCTAGTGATAAATATGAACAAGGCTAAAAAGTAGTAAACGTTTTCATTGGAATTACCTTGAAGCCATTTCCGATGGGGACTCTTTCTGTTACTGAGTGCTAAGTGGAGCAGAGAGAAAAGCTTTCTTGGCTGTCAGCTGAATCAGTCAACTGATTACAACTGCACCAAGTATTAATTATTGAATTTTGAAATATTTTTCTGAGTAAATCTGATGAACCACTGAAAAAAAGCCCCAGAGCTAAGAAGAATACATGTTCTTTTATGCCAGGAGCAATGCATGAAGAATTGGGACAAAATAAGAACAACTTTTCAGCTCTTTTTCAGTAGGTAGCTAACTTTCAACTTTGAGATGACAAATTTTACAAATGTGAAGTCGCAAATGTGCTAGAGCAACTGAGATATTTTATTTTGTGCACTATATTATCTTTCACTTTGAAATATTTGAATATTCCTTTGGTTTTTTAGTAAACAGTTGACAACGAACCATACAAAACGCCCATTTGTTGTCATTTTGCTGCTAGAGCTCAAAAAGAATATAAGATATTCTGGAATTCTTAAGTCGTTGAAAGTAAGACGGAAGTTTTTGTTAGGTGCTCCCTTATTTATGGGATCAGAGATGTGTTATTTTTTGTCTCAACAAGGGTGGATTTCCCTGTCCTTCATGGTCTGAATCAGGAGAGATTATGGTATGGTAGCACATAAAGATAGGTGTGGGGGGTGTGTGTGTGTGTGTTTTTTTTAACAGCTCCATCAATAATAGTAATAAATGGCTTTGGGGAAACAGACTTCAGTACTGATACATAAGGCCCTCTATTGATCCGTATTCGCAGATGAGGTCTCCTGAGCTGCTGTTCTTTCTTTGAGTACCAAGCAAGCTCTTTGTCCTGATGTTTGAAGGCTTTTACCGAGAAACGTTTTCTAAGGAAGAAACACCTATAAGCAACTTCAAGATCAGACCTTGACTGTGAGATGAAATTAACATACACAACCTTGTCCAGCCTTTCTCCAGTCCTGCTGCTTAGATCTTGTGGGGACAGGATGTGAGCTTATATCTGTGATTACCATTTATGTCATTATTTCTGATTACAGCCTTGCTATGTGAGATAAGCTTTCATGCTCTGTTTTGCCCTGCTTGAAGGAAGAAACTCCAGTTTTAAAATCCTGAGATGTGCTTTTGGTTACACGCTCCTAGGGCAGGAAATTTAGAAGGATACAATAATCAGTATCAGTACTTGGTTTCAAGAGTTAAAACACAGACCTGGTGTCAAGTTTGAGTCTTAACAAATTAGACTGTATCTGTCTCTGATTCCTGGTTGATGCCCTTTTAAGGTAAGAGGGTGAGTTGCAGGATACTGAAGACTTAGGAATTCATTGTGTTCTCCCACTTCAGCAAAATCACAGCTGTATCTATAAAAGCTTTTACAAACTTCTTAAGCAGGGTTTGGATTTAGACTACAAGAAGTCTTTAGGAGATACGAAGTTGTGTTTAAAAACATTACAGTGTTTTCAAGTGATCTTATTTTCATGATGAACTTGTAAAAACATACGGAACACCTTTGTTAAAATCATGTGTAACATGGACTGTTAGATTTTGAAAACAAATGCTGATAATCTTTCATGATACAGAACTTGAATTACTTCAATTTATTGATGTATTGCTGGCAAGTGTAATCAGATGAAAACTCAGAATCTGATTCACAATCTGTTCTGTATTCTATTAATGTAAATGATATCTATTTGAATCTTTCAGGTTGTTCCAGAAAATGACATGCTAAAGATAAAAGCAGTAAATTGTATCCAGTCAGCTTGACTTTGTAACTAACCCTTTCTTGTTTTAGGCTGGTTTTCATCTGTGCAATCATATCTATAGCATGTGCTCATATATAATGCTTTCTTGGCATCCCTGATGACATCCTTTTGTGCATACACATCTGAAGAATACTAGGGGCTTGAAAGTGGGTGTCCAAATCTATAACCCTGTGAAATAGAAAGTTGCTATTGATATTTTTCACAGAGTATGCTGAATTTCTGCACTGCAAAGGGAGGAAATTTACTGATTTTGATGAAGTTCGTCAGGAAATTGAAGTAGAAACAGACAGAATAACGGGAGTGAACAAAGGCATTTCTTCAATTCCTATTAATTTAAGAATATATTCTCCACATGGTAGGTAAAATAATTCTACTTTATATTTCTGTCATGTAATATATTTTTTAGCCCTATCTGTCTAGCTGTCTCCTTTTGTATGTGTTCTCATTAATTCATCAAAAGTCTTCTGGGATGAAAAAACTTCTGAGATTGAGTTGAACCTAAAGTAGATACACATCTGGAAGAATCTTCAACTTCTCCTGTGTTACGAAACCACTCTACGGTGGAGAGCTGTTGCCACTAGAGCTGTGCAGAATGCAGACTCTCTGTTCCATTTAATATGCTCGTGATTTAAAAATATTCTCACTCTGCATCAGGATGAAACCAATCTCTCCCCCAGTACATATACTATTAGTTAGTAGCTCACTAGTAAAGACAAATAATAGGAGATGAGACACTTAGTGGCAAAACTTTTTTGCCACCCTCCAGATGGATTCCCTGATCTGTAATCTAGAAAGTCATGATATCTCCCTGCCCTATTGGATGTTTACTGTTTGCTGTCACTAAAAATATATTTAGACAATAATGGTGTTTGAAGCTGATTTCTGTTGTAGACCCCCAGTATAGATCAAAGTTAGTTCCTCTGGTTGCCATCTGCCCAATTTAATGAAGGCAATCTAGAGGAAATGTTTTGCATTGAATCTGTTTTGGATACAGTAGAAAAGTGGTATGTTTGGCTGAAGCTTTTTATTTTTCTAACCACCTCATCTGATGTCTTCATTGCAAATCAAAGGACAGAAAGATTAAAATAACAGGAGAAGTAATTAAAGAGATGCTGAACCTCCCTTTGATACACCATGAGCAGTCTTGCCTCTAAACATATGCTCCTGAGCCCTTCTCTGCCATACAGATGTGCCATAGCCAACTGGAGAGGAGCTGAACTAAATGGCTGACCTCAAAGCTTGTTGTTTGAACATGCTGACTCCAGGGGAAAGTGAAAATTTCCTATCTAATGCTCTTACTTTGTTTTATTGGGATCAGTCTTTTAGTTCAGCAACTGTTGTCTGCGTTAGCCAGGCCCCAAATATACTTCTGGTGTTTCCTCTCTAGGAATCGCGTTTTTTCTCATTCATCTAAAGGATACCCTGTTACCCCAGTAGTGGCTGAACAAGCTAGGGTGCTTCTAGTTGGCATTGTGGCCTGTACTGGGGAAATCATGCCAGAGAAAGACTGGTTTTCTTAATGGATAAACTTTTTCATGTTTCTTTCTTTTCTTAGCAAGTTACAGAGTAAAAAAAAAAAACAAAGAAACCAGCCCCAAAACAACAACATTCCCCAAAACCCCTGAACAACAATTTTGCTATATAAGTTTGGCTAGCTATTGATTTTTTTTTTTTTTGGAATTTCTTAAAAAAAAAAAAAAAAAAAAAGCCTGTTTTGGTTTGATTGAAAGATGTGATGGGAATGGTCTGTTGTCTGTGCTACTGTTGGTGGAAAAAGCTCAGAAAGCCATGTTCATTTGTCTAAAAGCCTTCAAGGATATTCAGTGTAAGTATCATTCTCCTATGCCAGTTGTAATGTTTAAAATATTGAATAGTACTAATAAATCCAGAGATGAAAGACCAACAGGGAAACAAGTGTACTTCTCAGATTGTCAGGCACTTTATTTGAACCATTGACAATATTTATATACCTACAAAAGTAATTATGTAGGGGTTTATGTGACTAAAATTTGTCTGCAGCTGTGCATGTGTAGACCTCTTTAGACATGTCTGGCATGCTAACCAGTTTTATGATCCTGTGTTTTCCGTATAGTATTAAGCTTGACACTTATTGATTTGCCGGGAATTACGAAAGTGCCAGTAGGGGATCAGCCTCCAGATATTGAGCAACAGATCAGAGACATGATAATGCAGTTCATTTCTCGAGAAAACTGTCTGATACTGGCTGTGACTCCAGCTAACACCGATCTGGCCAACTCGGATGCACTGAAGTTAGCGAAGGAAGTGGACCCTCAAGGTAAACATGATTGAACGTAACCACTTTTTGTTCTCCAGTGTAATAACATAATTGGAAGTAACGGACCAAGTCTGGTGTGAAATATAGTTTATACTGTATATAACATAGATGTGTATATATGCATTCTCATATAGGCTTCAACATCACAATAACTGTAGGCTCAGTATCATTCAGGTAGTGATACTGTAAATGTATTTTTTAAATTTTGTCACTATCTGTTATAAGCAAGTGGGGCAATGCCTATCTAGAAACTTTTGTAGTACCTAGCCAAATGGACTGTGGTTCTGATGGGATTTCTGGATACTTGCATCATAAATTTTATACAGTCATATCATAGGAATGCTGAGCCTTGTTAAAGAGATTTGAGGAACGCATTTCAGCACTGGCAGATGATCCCTTCTTTTCTAGACATACCATAACTTGCAGTTGTAGCTGGTATTGTGTGATACAAGCTTTGAGAACATCACATGTCTGTTATGTAATTTTAAAGTGTAATTGTTCTTCCTGAATATAAATGATTCTTCACTATCTATTTCCTCCTGCTTCCACCCTGGTCAGGTCTTAGGACCATCGGTGTGATCACAAAATTGGATCTGATGGATGAAGGAACAGATGCAAGAGAAATTCTAGAAAACAAACTACTCCCTCTTCGTAGAGGTGAGGATGTTAAGTTGCCTATATTCTTTGCATTCCAGAAGTGGTTTGGATAAGGGTGGTGTTTGGGAGTCCTGGAGGTTGATCAATGGTTATGCTGGACTTGATGAATTCCTAGCTTTTATCGTTATCTATTCAGCAAACAAAAGGTGGCTGTGCTAAAAATACCCTGCAAGTAAAATAATTTTTTTTTTTTGGACCTGGAAAATACACTGCATATTCCAGAGGATGCAAGAAATGTCAGCACAAGTTGTTATCCAATTTTGTCTTCTGCGCCAGGTTGCTGTCGCTTGTAACAAGAGAATCTTTTCTTTGTTGCATATGATGGAAGCAAGCACCAGAGCTTTGGTGATCTCACTGTAGACCAGGTTTTGACCCCTTCCAGAAATTCTCCATGTGATTTTTCTGGCAGCTACTGCCTAGTTGCTCATACTGTTAACAATATCAAGAATTTTGATTCTAGTTAGAATTTATTGATGAGACCACCATCTCCTCCCATGGGGCATGTTGGTCCTGGAAACGAGAAGAAATTCTTCCTGTGTTTTGCCGATGTCATATCATTTATCTATATAGGCCTGTATGTGTGTTTTGATTTTGTTTTGGAGTTGTTTGTTTATTTTTAAAGTGGTTTCTTTGAGGTACACCAAAGTTTCAGATATTTCTGTATTTGAATCAGTGATTTAAAAGGAAATATATCTGTTAAACGTAAGCAGGATAAACAATTTAGACAGTGTTAATGTCATTACAGTACTTGTAAACAGTATCCGAAATGCCTAATTTGGAAAGTTTTTGTTTGAACTGAGGCAGTCTAGTGCTATTTAATATGAATTCATTAGTTCAGGCTGTAGCTGCGTTGACTTACCCATTGGTTTTGTGTTGGTTTAGGTTATATTGGTGTTGTAAACAGAAGCCAGAAAGACATTGATGGGAAGAAGGACATAAAGGCAGCTCTTCTAGCAGAAAGGAAATTCTTTCTTTCCCACCCAGCATATAGGCACATGGCAGATCGGATGGGAACACCATATCTCCAAAAAGTTCTAAACCAGGTAAAACTCTAAGCCTTTGTGGTGAAAGGACCAATATAAAATCTTTATTAAAGTGAATGTTGGTCAGTGAATGTCACTGATTCTTTCCTGCTTTTAACCTTTTTAATTTTCACAAGTTGATAAACAAAGCTGTGTATTACATGTAGCATACGAAAGCTTACTGTGAGATGTAGTTTCTGACTTTTACTGACAATTCTGGACTCCCCTGTACTCTTGAATACTGAATATGAACATAAAAAAATCAAATTTATCTCCCTTCCTGGAAGTATAACATCCTATTCATCAATTATCTAATTTCTTCTAGTTTAACAGGATTTTTAGAATTCAAATTTGGTAATTTGAGGGAAAAAAAAAAAGATGACATTTTTAGAAATCATGTATCCTGAGGGTTCACTGTGTGTCTGTACTTTGACCTCAAAATCTACACTTTATAGTAGTTTTAAATAGAAACTGCGTGCTGTATACTAATGATATAAATGAAAAACACAGTAATTGGAACACGTTGTTTACACTACTTTTGTTTTTGGCCAAACCTTTGATTTATTTCTAAAAGTCCATGCCAAACCGTGTCAGATCACAGCTTCCTTCAGGGGGAAATAGAGGTCTACTTCCCAGTTACCCGGAGGAGAAACCCATAGCTTACCGTCCTAATGAAGACACTGTCTTCAGCAGACTTGGGGGAGTACACGATTCTCTTCCCCATTTTGTGTCTTTGGGTATCACTCTTTTCATGGCGCCATCCCTTAACTTGAATGGCGTGTGACCCTAATGGTGATGCATCTCAGCAAGTATGAAGAGAACAAGATCAAGTCATGTGTGCCTCTCTAAAGTTACTGGTGATGCTATGTTTTTTTTCTTTATTATTTTTTATTTTTTTAACTTAATCAGCTGACCAGCTGGAATAGACAAAGACCATGTAAGCCTGGCTTTGTCCATTTTGGGCAGAAGCTGGGAACAGCAGAAAAGTTATTGATTAAGGTAGGAAACGAAGTGGCTGGCCTGCTTAATTTCTTGCTACAGTGACTTTGCAGCTGTAACCTGACAGCCACGTTATGGCATACTCTGGATTCGCTCAAAAAGAATGCTAATGCCACTTATTTGTGCCTTAGAACCAAAGTCTTCAGCAAGATGCAAGAACTCACTTGTATCTTGCAATTTCATCTATTTAGGATATTTTGCTTCTTTTTGTGTCTTGAAAGTTTAATCCACATGTTTTAGTTTCGAGACTAAAGCATGAGCTGCCTTTGGACTGTCTTATCTGTCCTGACTTGCATTACTTTATGTACTATTAACTTTTTTGTGAGCTATTATGTAAATTTACCTATTTCAGTATGAACTGTTGATCTTCTGTTGCTATTACTGTGTGTAGAATATTATATATGGGAAGATCTGTTTAAGTTTCGTCCCCAAGATATTAGGGACCTGTTAGTGTTTGTGGTTTCAGGTAATATTTCCATTTCTCTGCATCCACGAGGTGGTGCTCCAGGGAAACACCAACTTTTGATTTTGTGCCTGTCAGTCTGCTGAATAACTTTCATTTTGAGTTTACACATAGTTTGGTATATGACATTCTTAATCTATAGCTTGTCTGATTGGGGTTGGGAAGAGGGTTTGCAGCATAGTGCAAGAAGTCCACTTTGGTTTTTATCAAGGAATCGGTACAATACATGAGAAATTTATGGCACAGGTAAGATGTTGATAGTGCTGTCCAAACACATTACAGCATATATATGCAGAAATGAGTGAGGTAAGTTAAACACAGATCTGGTAACACAGATCTAGTAAGCCTTTTTCTACTCTCCTACAATTTGTTTTCCAGTACTTTTAGGTATATGTTCAGAAATGTAAACTGATAGTCCTGAGTGGCAGAACCTGTTTCAGCGAAAAATTTAAAAAGGTTTATAGAAAATTATTTATTTAAATTTAAAAGGTTTATAGAATTAAAAATTAATTTAAAAAATTAATTAAAATTATTTATAAAATCTAAAAAGTTTACAGAAAAATTTAAAAAATTTGTAGAATCTAGGATTCTATAAACCTTTTTCAGTGAAAAATCAAGTGTTTAAAAAATGTGAAGTTCTATAATTGTTAATACGAGGGCAATATCTCTTCCCTTTAGTGTACTTTGTAGGAGGCAGCAGAAATCATGTGGAGATGATTTTTCACAATGACGGGAGAGTGCCAAGTGGGTACTCTGTATGTCTACACTTCTCTCCATCTCTGTTCTCAGTGGGCTGCGGGAATCTCTGCGCAGAATCTTTGTCCCACATTGCCTGGTGGCTGTAAAGTAAAGGAGTCATCATGCTGAAGAACTATATAGGGAACTGGGAAACACCCTTAGGAAAACCAGCAAAATGGGAGTGGTGGCATCAGTGCTGAGTGATGCGAGGTCTTTTCAAATTACATACGTAGTGTGTATAACTTTTTCGTGTGTAACTAAACAAGTATGTAGTAACAGGGTTCAGTGAGTGAGAGAATAAAGGAATTTTTCAAGCCTCCTCATAATGCGTATGCAAAAGGGATATTGTATTGTTCTTCAGCAGTCTCCATTGCTTCAAAGATCAAAAGGTAGCACAGGTCAAGGCTGCTATGCTTGGCAGTCCGAAGGAAATGGTTGTGCTCTTTCTTTCATCTTTATTAAGAGTATAAAAGGTCTTTTATTTGCTTTGTAGCAACTCACCAATCATATTCGGGACACGCTGCCAGCCTTCAGAAGCAAACTCCAGAGCCAGCTGCTTTCTATAGAACATGAAGTAGAGGTATACAAAAACTTCAGACCGGAAGATCCAACCAGAAAAACGAAAGCCCTGTTGCAGTGAGTGTCTTTTGTCTGCTTTTCCACTTTGTTTACGTTCATTTTGCCTTTCCCCCCCCCCCCCCCTTCTAATTGATTTAAATCGAAAGATTAGGATATGGTTAAGGATTCTATATGCAAACTCCAAAGAATTCTGTGCTTGATGTTCCAGAACATTTAATTTACAATTTCAGCAAAATTTTCCCTAAATTAATTGTAATAATCCTAGAAAAGAGAGAAAGGAGAACAGGAAAAGGTACAAAGATGGGCAACATATATGATCAAAGGTAGAAAACTGCTTCTGATTGTGCAGACGCATTCTTCAGCCTGCCAAAAAGATGACCTCAAGCAGGGGAAGAAGACTGTGTTAGAAGTTGTAAGGTGAGGAGTCCAAAAGGAGAATAGGGAATGCTTCTTTTTCCAGTATAGAAATTTGACTATCCAAAAGAATTTGAAGATGGCAAGATCAAAATTAATCATAGATGGTAGTTCTTCACGTGATGTGCATCTAAGCCACAGAGCTGTTTGCTGCAGGAGCTGATACTAAAAATCCATGTGCTTTCAGAAAGCAGTTAGGCAAAATCTTGGAATGGGGCAGA